TTGCTCCTAATTTCCCAAAATTCTAGGTATTGTTTTTCACAGGGTGCCAGTTAACGAAGTGGTGCGCTTTCCCCACTAATCAAAGCCACTGAAGGCAGTTAGGCATGCATTTTCTGCCATGGAGATAGTTGCATCCCCAAGAAGTGTGGGGGCTTCATTATTAATACAGGCTCTCAATCATTTATGCCTGAAACATTTAAAACAAGGAAAGGTGGTGGATGGCAGCCTGTGGTTCCCAAGAGGGCTCATTTTAATTTCTTTCCTCCATTCACTGTAGACCTGGAAAAGGAGAGGGTGCTGGGTTTTTTTGTTTGTTTGTTTAAATGCCTTTCACTTCCTGCATTGGCCTTAAACTGCCAATGTTGCTTGATAATTTCGGTGGATCATTTCCCTTTTCTCTGCATTGCACTCTCTCTCCCAGTTGATCTGTTGAGGAAACTTCAGGCACATTTAGTACAATTTGCAGACATCCCAACTCTTTGCTAAGTGTTCACTGTGTGCCCTTGGGAGGGGCCTGTGACTGATTTAGGGGTCATGCATCAGCCAGTGGAATCTGCTAATCCTGTTAAATGCTAATTCACAAGCTTCAGGCAGGCTTGTGGTTACCTCTACTCCTTCCCTTTATGTGTCAAACCTAGAAATACTGGCTCCGGAAAGGTCTGCACCATACCAGGGGGTTTGTATTGGAACTTTCATCCTCTTTCCATCCCTTCCTTAGTTTTGTCACTAGTCATTGATAAGACCATTTTATGGTGAAAAAACAAGCTTAATGTTGTGCCTCAAAGTTCCTCCAGGGCTTTTAAGTACCAGGCCTGGTCTAGAGTCTTCTCGGGTGTTGTGTGGTGGTTTTCTTCCTGAATTCCTTGTCTGGACACACCCAATACCTTGGGTTCTAGAAAAGGGTTTGTGTTGTATCTAGCACTGAGCCAGATGGTCTGACCTCTTATTAACACCTGTCTTTCATTTCTGCTTCTTGGAACAGAGAAAGCGCAGGGAATCTGCTTCCAGTTCATCGTCTGTCAAAAAAGTGAAGAAGCCATGAATTGCCTGAAGTTCCAGATCCTGGATGTCGGAGGATCAGGACACTGACTGCAGGGGCAAGATGGCTGCATTTGCCAGTATGCGTACTTTATGCTATGGGATTCCTGCAGTGACATTGCCCTCTCTTGTTCCAGAAAAGGGTGTTGCTGCCCCAGGTAAATGGGTTGGACTTCCTTGCATTAACAGCCTCATACTGGTTGTTGCTGTGGTGATTGTGTTGTCTTTCCTATGTCTGATTTTTGTAAACTTCCTTGTAAATACAGAATCCATTACCTCTTGTTCCGTAATCTGAATCTAATCCAGCACTTGTGAGTGGGCAGAAGCACCTTTATGGTGGTAGGAGCTGCTTTTGTCTAGATAGATCTTGAGCTGGAGTAGGCAGGTGCTGGATCAGCAGCTAGATCTTATGGATTAGAATAGTTTTTATGACGCATGTGAGGCAGGAGGGGACAAACGCCCGCCTAAGACTCCCTAGTATAATGCTACACATGATTAACTATCTCACAACTGCAAGGAAGAGTCGGTTGTAGTAGCAGAGACTGCAATGCAGAGCTACATGGATAAATTATTTTATTGAAAACTTATCTTTGCAATAAAAGAGACATATCTCAGGCTGCTTTGAACACTGAAGGTCTTCCACCTTTTGCAGTGCCACCATTGAAGCATAGTCTTTTTTATGGTCCTAGTTGGGCACTAATTCTCACACCACCATCCCATTCCCACTGGAAGACATGCTTGCTTGTTTCTGGCTTATTCTTACAGAATGTTCTTCTGGATGTCCACAAAGTTCCTATTTCCCTCAGTGTTTCATCTAATTATAGAACAGTTGGTTGACTCATGTGCCCTGCATATGAATTAAACAATAGAGTTGAGGAAAAGAACCCCATACTGTATCTTAGGTGATGCATTCATTCGTTGCAGGAGGTATTTCCTGCTCTGATGAGAGGGGGTCATGCCTCTGCCAAGATGTTGCCTGCTCTCCATGTATTTTTCTAAGTCCTTATACTAAAAATAATTTAGATCTTCCGTTTGATTTAAGCAGTGGCACCTTTTTAGTTAAACAAATTTTCAATATCAATTTAGCGAGCCAATTTAATGCTGCATCTCTAGTTTTCTCATCTCTCAGGTAGGTGAGGTACCCTCCCATATCTGTTAAGAGTAGCCAGAATTATTCTGTGTTATTTTGTGGACATACATACCCATCCTGAGTGTCATAGTGAGTTTTTTGTGCTAACATAAAAAAGTAGTTCTACAGACTCTTTTAACAGGACAATCCTGTGTGTGTTTGCTTGGAAGGAAGTTCCATTTTGTTCAGTGTGTTCCTGTTGTAGCCTGCTGCATGCAGACCAGTATCTCTTATACCCTCCAGAGGCGACTTGGTGTGTGATAATTGTGTTGATTAGTGACCAATGGAGCAACCAGCTGTATGCATGCTGGTTTTCCAAGAACCAAGAAGCATCCATTTCTCATTGCTAGACTCAGCTTCAGCTGTGAAGGTTTGGTTTGATAGTGTAGGGTTGAATATTCCAAGTCAGTATAATTAAGCCTGTGTATACAATTGCAGGAAAGGCTATGTTTTGCTATTAAATATAGAATTCAGCACCAAGAAGGAAGTTTCTAGCCCATAAGCTTTTACAAAGGTCACCTTGAAAGTGCGTGAGTATTTCTGGTGAGATCTCTGAAGCCATAGGAGGGCTAAGTAGGACTTCTAGTGATCAGACTGTGGTGTTTTGCATAGCTCTTTACCCTTCCCTAGAGTAGCAAAATAAATTATGCAAAATGAGCAAATATGTGCACATTTGCATAATGCATACAGGCCATGGAATTCAAGTTTTAATTTTAATTTTGATGGGGTTTTTAGTGCAGAACACAAAGCCCTAGGTATAACCCTTGCCCTCAGCAGGAAGAAATTGACTGGCTACGTCTAAGACTTCAGTCGCATGTTCTCCAGTGTGTGGCAGGCAGTGAAGCCAGTGATACCCTCAAGAAGAGCTAACTGTAAGTAAGTTTGGTTTCACCAGTGTAAAAATATTGAGTGCTAGCCTATGAGGTAGCCCTCCATTCTGGTCTGGAGTTTCTCCACCTTGCTGACTGCTTTAATGACTGAATTGTACTCTTCTCCCCCCACCCCTGCCCAGCCCTTTCAGATATTCATCTTCCATCAGAAACATGTTGGAAGAAGGGCTATGATACTTTTGGCCTGGCTGTCAGACCTAACTCATGCTCTACCTTCCCCTTCCCATTTCAAGTGCAACTGGGAATCGATAGTGCATGACAACGCCCTTTGATTTACATTCTTGCTGGCAGAAAGAAAGGTCAAAGGCCAAGTTCTTCGTTTTCATAGAAAACTAATTAGACGACTCCATCGACACTGAATCAATAAAACTGATCAGGTGATTACACAGAGGGAGCCATTAAAATCCCTATGACCTTTGATCTCAAGTCCCTAACCTGAGGTGGGAAAGGCTCAGTTATATTCTCTAGTGCTTGGAGGACAAACCTCCCAAAGTGAGATGGACTGGCCTACAAGGCTTCAGTGGGTGGTGGTGGACACAGGCTTTGCTGACTCTGCTGGTTGTATCTAGTATGTTCTCATTTCAACCCCTACTGCATGAATGGTCATGTGGATAGAAAGGCATGGCAGACATAGACAAAGGGTTGATAAGGCAATTACCTTCTGCATTGGTGCCATAAAGAGAGAGCTGGCCCTAAATGGAACAGACCCCCAAACTTTTCACTGCTACAATGGGAGGGGAAAGAGCAGAGACCAACACTGAAAGGGGATAGTGATTTATTTGGGGCTTTGTCTTAAGCTACGGAGTCAATTTGTATGTTCTCCAAGCAGCTTGCTTTGTTTTCAATCTCCCATTTGTCATTGTTGTCTAAATCATAAAAGATTGTTCACATTGGTGCATAAGCCATCTTAGGTCATGTAGCACTAAACAAACATTTGGTAATTATTCATTGGCCTTCTGTGTTCAAGTTTATTTGACTTCTATAAAATGAGTCATGGTTTTTTTAACATGTAGCTCCAGGCTTTGCTCTGTTTTACATGGTATATTGTTGTAGCTAACGGAGAGAAAAGGATGGGAAACCATATAAACTTCAACAGGGGCCAGTATCTAGACCTGAGTATTGCCCTCTGTGAGCACCACTTCTACCTGCAGATTGGGGAGGGTGCATGAGCCAAAGTGTTCTCCTGTGGCCCAAGCAGCCTATGAACTTCGTGTGCTAAGCATCCTTGATGGTGCAATGAGCTGAGGTGATAAGATGTAAATATTTGGCTTCTTCAGGATCCTCCTTTCATTGAGGGGCCCTTCAATAATGTTAAACAGATGGTATGAAAACATTTTAATGGTGCCCACTGATTGGCAGTGGGTGCAAATACCACTTTCAGCAAAACCCAGCTCTACTTGGGAGCTCCAAATCTAAAAGGTGTCAGATACAAGCTCCACTTGCTAAGGAAGAAGCAGGACCAAACTTTAAGGTGCCTGCTTCTTCCTTTGCAGCTGCATCTTTGCCTGACATCACATTATGTCAGATGTGAGGCAGGTGAGTGGGACTTGGACAAAATGGCCCCTGAGGCCTGATTAGGGCTGTGGGCTGAAGGTTTCCCACCCCTGGTGTAGAGCACAGGGCAGGAGGCTAACAACAGTGAAGGAAAGTATGACCTATTCTCAAGATATTTTCCTGGGGAAGAACTAATAAGGAAGCAGCTTTTGTTTTGGCTACAGATGGGAATATGTGGGTGATTTCTCTCTCATGAAGGTACATGATACTTGTGTCACAAAACAATCCCAGAACGCAAATCCATTTAAGGATGGGAGAAACATCTGTGCAGTTACTGCCAGATTACATGGGCAGTTGAAGAGGTATTGGGAAAAGGAGTTTACTTAGCAGCATATTTCAGATAAAGCCTCCCCCCGGCCCCACTCCCTTACAGCATACAAGGAGCCAGGTTCCTTTCCCCCAAACTTTATTCATGTGGCACATTTACAGCAAGGATGGGAATAACGAGCCAATGAGGAGGTCAGGTTGGGTTCAGCTGGAACATCCACACACCATGCATTATTTACCGGTAAGGCCCAGTGCCTGTATCAGCTCACAGCCTGACTCTTGGTGTGGCTCCCAGGTAGGTGGCAGCTGGAGCCTATCCATCTGGGGATCCATTCAGCAAAAGCTAGGGCAGAAGGTTTCAGGAAAATACTGAGCTGGGAGAGGGCGAGTCATTCTTTATTTCCCTCTTCCCACACTGGACCAAGGTGATGGGAATAGGATAGGAAGAATAGGCCACACCTCTCAAAGCAACAAGTCAGTTGCAGCCGTTGTAGGAGGAGGAGGAAGTCAGGTGAGCAAAGGGGCAGTAACAGAGATGTCAGTCAATTTGCAGATCCCTGCTGGGTAATGGGAACACAACCCCCTGCTGGGCTAGCAGTAATGGGCACGTCCACTGCCTGCAATGGACTGCATGCTCCATAGGGGGGGCCATGCGCAAGTGCAGGGTGGATGCACAGTAGGGTTCCCCATGTTCGGAGGAGGCATGAGCAAGGGATCACAGGGTTCAAGAAATGCAGGACATGGCGGTGAGCATCAGCCAGGATGCTCCTGCCTACGATAACCCCTGCTGAATGAAGCCCCAGGGAGATAGGTGGCTCTTGGTGGGCAGGGAATACAGGCACTTTACCTTGAACAGAAAGAGCCGAGCTTCCTCAGATCACATACAGAAGGAATCAGAGGGTTAGTGTTTATTCAAAACAGAAGGGAAGGAGGGAAGAAGCCTGCCGAAGAAGGGGGGGGGGCTGTCTGGATGCTGCTCAGTCAATATTTAGCTGACACGCAGGAGACACAGTAACAGATTCACACAGGAAAAGGGGAGGGGGGCTTGACCGCGGTTGTTGCGATATTGGACTCAAAGTAATAAGGGCGAGTGCCCCAAACATGGCGCCACGGTCTTGCTACAGGCGCAAATATGAGCAGAGAGAGAGAGAGAAAGATGCCAATGGAAATCGGAAGCCAACAAAAGGGAAAACAATCTACGTCTCTAACCATGTGGAGCAAGCGCCCTAGGGGGCTGCAGGCTGGGCCAGGCTGGGCAGGCAGCCGGCCCCAGAGAGGGAGTCACGTCAGGCCTACACAGAGATTCCAGTTCCATATATACAGCCTCTACTGGCAGAACAGCAAAACTGACGGAGTCGTGGGGTTGCTCGTTCCTCTGTCCTCTTTCTGTCGTTCGAATGCTCCAGCCCATCACGCCCAGGTAGCAGGAGCCGGCCGCATGCAGCCCTGTCTGGCCGGCCCCAGAGATCAAAAGGGCTTGGAGGTCTGCTTGAAGATGAACCCTCTGTGAGCCAGTGTCTTCATGATGTTGGCAATGTTCTTGCAGTCATCTGCCGGTCAAAGGAAGAACGGGCGTGAGAACGGTCATGTTATCTTCTTCTTATTATTTATTTCATTTCTATACCACTTCATATTTTAAAGAGAAATCTCAAAGCGGTTTACAGCATATTAAAACATCAATAAAACAATGTTGAATTGGACAGGTATGAAAATGCTTGGAAAAAAGGATCACACACATACCCCATACTTATAGGCAGTGCTTTGCTTCTAGGAAAAAAAGCTGCCGGTATGGGGTATCCTTGAGTACCCCCAGGAAAAAAAGCACTGCTTATAGGCATACAACAATCCACACATAAATGCTGACCTTTCGCAGACATATGTGCCCATAAGCATGCATGCATGCAAACACCTCTATGATTCATGCACACCCTAGATGTGCTGTGGTAGTACTGGCAGCATGGAATGTCCTTCTTGTCTCTGGACTCGTCCACACTTCTGCTTGTCCCACCACTTTCCCCTGGGAAAACCTGCTCTTTACCACTGAATTGGAGCAAATGCCAGTTGGGATTTGGCATGTTGATGTTTCTCTGATTCAGAGGCAAAGAGTGGGTTTTCCTGGGGAAAGAGGCAAAGCAAATGGAAAACTGCTCAGAGCTGTGCCTAAAAAGCATGGGACAAGCAGAAAGCCTCTTGGAAAGCTGAAGTGTGGATGAGCCCTTTGTCTCAGCCCTACTTAGGCTTCCTGACTATGGCGTGTAGATCTTCACGGTGCATTCTGCCATTTCCAATAAAGTGGGATATGGTTTAATTCAGTTTTACAGCCCTCCTCCAACTAGCCTAGACTGCATCCTTTTACTGCTAGGCTGTGCCCCCACCCACATGCATGAACTCTGGGAGTTTCCAGTAGGTCCCAGCTCTTGAAAAATGGAAGACCACTGTTTTAGAGCAAGGCTGCAATATACCAGCTACTCATTTTTGTATCAATTCAAGTGGAACAACTACTTCCTCTTCGAAACAGGAATAATGTGGCATGTGGTAATCCTGATATGATATAATTGAGGCTAGGTCTAGCCTCGATTTAGTATTTTAAGGAGATTTTTCATTTCATATCTCATAAAAATACATCCAGATAATATGAGAACACAAAACATACATTGCAGGTTTGTATTATTTAATTTGTTTTATAACATTAGAAATATAGTTAAATAGAAGTTTGGAATTTCTCACTTTGAAGAGAAATGAACAAGGAGCAGTTTTGTATGACTGTACAGCTTTGGGAGTTATATTGACCACTTGAAAATTGAAAAATTTCAGTTTTGTGAGCAGGGACACATCCTATTGGGGGGGGAAAACACATTCTGTAACACCGGGTGGCCCTGCTGATTTCTAGCATTGGAGCATGCATATCTTAGTTGCTAGTCTTAAATGCCAGGTTGACAAAGACAACAAACACCATACAATGGTTGTGCTCCACTACAATAACACTTAACCTGTGGAGGGATCTAATAATACTCATTAGAGGAGGGCCCAGTGGGCAAAAGGTCCACATTTCAAATTCTGAGGAAGTGCTATGGGTGCCAGCCACAAAATGGCTGCTGTGGGAGCATGGCCTACACAAAACTAGTGCATAGTTATTGCTGCTTTCCCCCTCCCCAAGACAACCTCATGTTTTCCATGGGAAGTGAGCTATGTCCTGCTGGTTCTGATATTGACCCCCTCTCTGTGATACTGTTGCTGTCTAATAACAATAGGGAGCATTCCCCAGTACCAGGAAAAATATACAGGGTAGCCACACCACACTCTTGCACACGCATCACATGCACACATTCACCATACATGTACAGACACGCACCTATTTCTCATTCACTACATCCATATTGCAAGCACATCTTTCTCCATCTCTCAGCCCAAGTGCATCTTTCCTTCTCTACCTCACCACATTCATATATACCCCCATCTTCCCCACATATACACCTCTCCCCAACTGCACCTTTCTCAGTCACACACAGAGCATGCTTGAGCAACCCACCCACCCACCCATTCAGAAAAGGCTATCCACAAGCAAAGGGAGTGCCTACCATTTCAATCCCCGCCCAACCTAAATAAAACAAATATTCACGGGGGTCACCAGCCCCACCACCTGCAGGCATCGGGCATTGAGGAGCGAGAAGGAAGGCTTTGTGGGTGCCGTGGGGCCCACAGGGGCCGGGTTGGCAGTCCCAGCATTAGAGCGACTCCATCAAAACAGTAAAGACGAAGAAAAGGGCTCAGCTCCATGGACTCAGCTGTGTTACTGTTCTACCAAGGTATCTTGAATTAGGTTTGCAAAAGATTTTGATGATGATTTAAGTACATTTCCCTGCAAAATGCCTGTTTATCTAATTTATACAAAATGAAACATTGCAAATCAACAGAATTGTATATTTTTTTTTTGACAAAACAAAGGGGGCAGGGGTTGGGAGAAAATGGAAGGAAGCTGTGAAGGGGAAATCCCTCCTCACATTCTCTAAATGTTTGAAATAGAAGATAAAACTCCTGGCAACACCACTCATCTATTTTTTCATCCTGAAGCATTAACAGAAACTGGTCGCATTTCTTTCTTTTCAAAAACCAACAATGAGGGATAGAAACATGCTTTTAAAGTTTCATTTCAGATTTTCTAGATTCTAGGTTCTATATTGCATGACACACTAAATAAAAAGCCTTGATTAGGGCAACAGCTTTCCTACACACTTTTGGTGTGGACTTTCATCACAGGCCCCCACTAGTTCCAGTCCAGCTCTTGCACCTTCCCTCATCTTTTATATTGGAAGGATGACAGAAGGATGGACCGGTAAGTAGAGCAAGCTCCATTCTCTTCTGAACTAACAGGGAAGCAGGGTTGGGCTGGCTCGCATTATTTACCTGGGACTAAACGCAAGCAGAGTTTGCTAAAATAGAAGCAAGCCTTAAATTGATTCCTGGTGTCTATATTTCATGTTGAAAATTGGCTTGTAAATCCATGTTTTGATCTATGGTGGCCGTCTCCTTAAGAAAAAGCAAGAGTAAATGTGTAATTTCTCCCTTGACAGCACACGGTGGCGAGGCGATCCTTCTTCCCGCTCCCCTCCGACTCGGGACAGCTCCGCTGCCTCCCATCAGCACTCTTTCTTCCTCGCCCCACGCCTTGATGTCTCCATTTCATTAGTGTGCGCCCATTCATCACGCTGTTACCGTAAGGGTGACTTTGCCCACTTGCATGTGGCAGGCAGGGCCTGGATGACATGGGGTGGCGCTGCCACTCTGACGGGGGGAGGGAAGCAGAACACCCACCCACACCCCTGCTAGTAAATGGATGTTGTGGCAGAAGGACAGCTGCATCATTACTGATGTGTAAATGATAAAGCAGCGCCTCCACATCCGTCTCTTAACTGTAAATCCAGGGAGTGCTTTATAATCAAGCGGCAGCGATAATAATGTGAAATTAGGTCTCTCTATCAAAGGGGGGAGGCCTTTTAATCACGGCTTAAAGGGTGCAAGCGCTGTTTATCATAATTGAACTGTATCCGGGCTAATTGTGGCCATATTTCACTGTCTAGGAGACAGGCACACCGACTGAGGAATGAACGCCAGGGGCCGAATGGAGCAGGAAGCTGCCACCCAACCTGTCTTGGCCCCAAAGTGCAGGAGCTTGAGTATTTGGGGAGGGTGTCAACAGATACACGAAACAGCCCCCCATCTACCTTCCCCCTGCTTAACCTATTGAATGCTGGTAGCACAACTAGGGGGAAACAGATGACATTCTGCTCTTCAACTGCATTGGGAGTTTACATAGCTAGGCTAACAAAACCAAGCATTTTTTATCAAAAGCAACTAAAAGATGAAAATTCTGCGTTTAAAAAAATGAAAATCGGCATACACCAAGGTGCATACATTAGTCAGATTGGTAACAGCTGCAAAGAAGCAGCAGAGTGACTACAGAAATGGGAGGGGGCAAGGGATCTTATATAATGAGCAGAGCTTGCCCATTTGCAATGCAACCCTTATCATGTCTACTCAGAAGTAAGTCCTATTGAATTCAGTGAGGCTTACATGTAGGTAAGTGGGGATAAGATTGCAGAAAAAAGTACTCTGTAGAGAGAGTAAGGTAGATTGCAATGGAACATGTTATGTGGTGTGTAGCTGCAAGTAGTCAAATAGCCTACAGTTGAAGCTGTAGGCTATTTTTGGCCTCCTCAACCCTTAATTTGCTCTGTTTATGAGTTTGAGGCACACCCCAAAAAGAATTGGGTGGGGGAACATCCATCAGCTTCATGTCTCACCCACTCTCAGCCAGAACACATTCAAAACGGGGATTGGCCATATTTGCAACAAGTCACTACTAGTATCACTTTCACCAAACTTACTGATCTTCAATCAGAAGGAAGGGCTTAAAGGTATAAAGATAGAAGTTTGGCCATATGCACACCTGAGCATTAGCTGCTTCCTAGTACAGCTATCTGGCAAAGTATGTCTCTACTTAATGGCTGAAATACAAAGCAAATAGATCCAAGTCTAATGGCTCGTCAAATCTGTGGTGATGTTCAACATTCTTGCAGTATGTTTTTCTACCTGAAGAGCTCTGATTCCTCTCTGCCCTTGAAAACATCTCATTGATTTCCAGCTAAAGAAACCTGTGTTGTCAGGAATTGGGGAGGGTATCTCTGAGGGGTTCATATTCTTGGAATCTATGGGGGAAAGCAGACCACCACCAATGGTCTCTCTTGATATGTGCAAAGATTTTCAAAGGGGCAAAAAAAAACCTTAAACAATGGACCCTGGTAAAAACTTTGTTTACAAGTATAGGCAAAACTGAGGAACCACTATGACTTAGTGGAACAGAAACATGGACCTGGTTCTGTAGGCTCCGTATGTTCCATCTTCTCTTGAGAGATCTCCTTATCTGAGTAGATAGAAACGTCAAGAGTCTCAACCTATTGCTTGTCTACAGTGTGGCTTCCTCTTTCATACACCCTCTGGAACCTGCTCTTTCATGCCCCCAGTGCCTGTTGAAGAGGATACTGCAGGCCTT